TATAGTTCACCTACAACCATAGAACATTCTCAACTCCACCAACAATGAAACTGAACCAAACTTGGTACACAGAACTCCCATGACCAACAGAAAATACTGGAAGATTTTGATGGGCATTGACCTTGAGTTGGGGAGTTGTAGTTCACCTACATCCAGAGAGCACTATGGACTCAAACAATTGATGGATCTGGACCAAACTTGCAAATACTCAAATTATTGTTAGACTGTTGTTACGTTACATGTGAACACTGGTGGAATTTTGGGAAAACAGACCTTGACATTTGGGAGTTGTAACTGTTGGGAGTTATAATTCACATACAATCAAAGAGCATTCTGAACCCTACTAATGATAGAACTGGGTTAAACTTCCTATACAGAACCCCCATAACCAACAGAAAATGCTGTATTTTCTGATTCTCAAGGGGGTGTCCCCTCTGACAACCCTTGCAGCCCCCCACCCAGGGATCCCGACCCCCAGGTTGAGAAACACTTCCCTAACGATATCAGATGCAGTCCTGGTTAATGCTTGGATGAGAGACCCCCTCCCAATGAATACCAGATGGGTGTGCCTCTGAGTTGTCTGTGACCCCACGGATTTTTAGGGTTTTCTTAAGCCAGGAATGCTCAGAAGTGGTTTTGCAAGTTCCTTCCTCTGAAATATACCCTACAGCATCTGGTATTTGTTGGCTGTCTTTATCCTGAGGCTATTTCACCAGTGGAGGAACAAGCAAAACTACCCTTGCCTAAGAAGACCCTATGCAATGCCTTAGGGCATCGTAAGTCAACAGGAGACTTGAACATACAAACACAGAGTCCCATTGGGCACATGCTAATGACATATGGTATATAGAAAGGAAATGCCAAGCCTGACCAATTCCCCTCTGAGCTGCCAGATGCAATAGAAGCAGAGGACTTCTATGAAGTCATATTTTTATTCGACAGTTCAGATGCCAAACATAAAAACCCAAGCCGAGGTTACTCTTTATTTAAAAACCTCTGCACCCCTGCGTCCTTAGCAGCTGTTTGGCTCACAGAAAATAAATAGGAGAAGCTTTCTTTGATACCCAGGTAAGTGAAGCAAACAGTTCAGAGGTTGGCATATTTTGGTGTTAGGACACTGGAGTGCAGACAGTTTTGAGGATTTATTTTGAGTCTCCTTGTGGGGAGAAAATGAGGGGCATACATAATAATAATAATAATAATAATAATAATAATAATAATAATTGGCACAAGCCAGTCAAGGTGGTCCCAGTGGTGATCAGCATACTGGGTGCAGTGCCTAAAGACCTTAGCCTGCACTTAAACACAATTGGTGCTGACAAAATTACCATCTGCCAGCTGCAAAAGGCCACCTTACTGGAATCTGCATGCATTATTCACCGATATATCACACAGTCCTAGACACTTGGGAAGTGTCCGACGTGTGATCCAAAACAACAGCCAGTTTTGGATCATCTTGTCTGCTGTGGACTCATCTTGTTGTGTTTTAAATATTAATAATAATAATAATAATAGGAAAAGCTTACACAATATGAGGATTTAAAGATAGACCTGCAAAGGCTCTGGCACAAGCCAGTAAAGATGGTCCCAGTGATGATTGGCACACTGGGTCCAGTGTCTAAAGACCTTGGCTTGCACTTAAAACAATAGGTACTGACAAAATTACCATATGTGAGCTGCAAAAGGCCACCCTACTTGAATCTGCATGTATTATTCACCAATATATTACACAGTCCTAGATACTTGGGAAGTGTCTGATGCATGATCCAATACAAAAGTCAGCATAGTGATCTTGTTTACTGTGTACTTATCTTGTTATGTATCAAAGAAGAAGAAGAAGAAGAACAAGAAGAAGAAGAAGAAGAAGAAGAAAACAACTCTGGCACAAGCCAGTCAAGGTAGTCCCAATGGTGATCGGCACACTGGGTGCAGTTCCTAAAGACCTTGGCCTGCACTTAAAAACAATCAGCACTGACAAAATTACAACCTGTCAGCTGCAAAAGGCTACCCTACTCGGATCTGCACGTATTATTCAACAATACATCACACAGTCCTAGACACTTGGATAGTGTCTGACGTGAGATCCAATACAAAAGCCAGCATAGTGATCTTGTTTGCTATGTACTAATCTTGTTATGTATCAAATAATAATAATAATAATAATAATAATAATAATAATAAGAAGAAGAAGAAGAAGAAGAAGAAGAAAGCTCTGGCACGAGCCAGTTAAGGTAGTCCCAGTGGTGATCGACACACTGGGTGCAGTGCCTAAAGATCTTGGCCTGCACTTAAAAACAAAAAGGAGGAGGAGGGGGAGGCAGAGGGGGAGGAGGAAGAGGAGGAGGAGGAGGAGGGGGAGGAAACATCTCTGGCATGAGCCAGTCAAGGTAGTCCCAATGGTGATCGGCACACTGGGTGCAGTGCCTAAAGGCCTTGGCCTGCACTTAAAAATAATAAGAAGAAAGAGAAGAAGAAGAAAACTCTGACACAAGCCAGCCAAGGTAGCTCCAGTGGTAATCGGCACACTGGGTGCAGTGCCTAAAAACCTTGGCCTGCACTTAAACACAATAGGCACTGACAAAATTATCATCTGTCAGCTGCAAAGGGCCACCCTACTTGGATCTGCACACATTATTCACCAATACATCACACAGTCCTAAACACTTGCAAAGTGTCCAACATGTGATCGAATACAAAAGCTAGCACAGTGATCTTGTTTGCTGTATACGAATCTTGTTATGTATCAAATAATAATAATGATAATAATAATAATAATAATAATAATAATAATATAAGCAATACCATTGGCACTGTTGGGAAGACAAAGTTAGAACCTGGATGAGAGACAGTCAATGAATGCTACATTTCAGAGGAATTGTAATGACTTAGCTACCTCTCAATATTCCTTGCTTAAGAAAACTCTATGAAAATTCATGGGGTTGCCATAACGACATAGGTGATGCAAAGGCGTGTACACACATGCCACACCCATGGTCTGGGGCTGTGTTTGGAGGGAGTCGTTGACGGAGCACATGTTTTGCATGGCAAAGATCCCTGGCGGCTCAGTCCCAAGGATTCTCCCAGTAAAGTTGGGACAATATCTGCTCTCGAGTCTGCCAATCCCAGTTGACAACAGACCACACAACCTCTGAGGATGCCTGCCATAGATGTGGGCAAAACCACACAACCTCTGAGGATGCCTGCCATAGATGTGGGCAAGAGAGAATGCTTCTGGAACATGGCCAGAGAGCCCAGAAAACTCACAGCAGCTCTAGAATGGATGCCCCATGTGGTATCTTCCAACACTAGAGTTGGAAGAGACCACAAGGGCCATCTGGTCCATGCAAGACATGGAGCAAGAAGGCTTTGTTGCTGGGATTTCACAACCTCTGATGATGCCTGCCATAGATGTGGGTGAAACATCAGGAGAGAATGCTTCTGGAACATAGCCAGATAGCCTGGAAAACTCACAGCAGCTTCAGAACGGATGCCCCATGTGGTATCTTCCAACTCTAGGGTTGGAAGAGACCACAAGGGAGATCTGGTCCATGCAAAAGACATGGAGCAGGAAGGCTTAGCTGCTGGGATCTCACAACCTCTGAGGGTGCCTGCCATAGATATGGGTGAAACATCAGGAGAGAATGCTTCTGGAACACAGAATCCTAGAGCTGGAAGAGACCTCATGGGCCATCCAGTCCAACCCCATTCTGCCAAGAAGCAGGAAATTGCATTCAAAGCACCCCCAACAGATGGCCAGCCAGCCTCTGTTTAAAAGCTTCCAAAGAAGGAGCCTCCACCACACTCTGGGGCAGAGAGTTCCACTGCTGAACAGCTCTCACAGTCAGGAAGTTCTTCCTAATGTTCAGATGGAATCTCCTTTCTTGTAGTTTGAAGCAATTGTTCCACGTCCTAGTCGGCCCCCCCCCCCCCCCCGCCCTATGACTTCCGCTCACATATTTATACATGACCCTCATTTTGTCTCCTCTCAGCCTCCTCTTGTTCAGGCTAAACATGCACCTTTTTAAGCTGCTCCTCATAGGGTTGTTGTAGGTTTTTTCGGGCTATAGCCTAAAAACCTACAACAACCCAGTGATTCTGCCCAGCTCCTTAAGCTGCTCCTCATAGGGCTTGTTCTCCAGACCCTTGAACATTTTAGTCACCCTCCTCTGGACACATTCCAGCTTGTCAACATCTCTTTTGAATTGTGGTGCCCAGAATTTGACACAATATTCCAGGTGTGGTCTAACCAAAGCAGAATAGAGGGGAAACTCACAACAAAGTGATGTCAGCCATGAAAGCCTTCCACAATGTATTCTGGAGCTGCTGGACTGCCTGCCTTGACCCCAAGTGATCCTTATGTCAAGGGATGCCTGGCTCTGGTAAAGAAGCAGGAGGACAGCTATTCAAAGCTTCCCATTCTTACACAGAGGGTCTCCCCTCTCTCTCAGTGTCACTTTCCTTCTTCCCATCCGCCCTAAGGCTTTGGGGACAGTCTGCTTTGGGGTGAAGTGACCACAGACCTCTCACAAGCTCCAAATGCCCAACGCACAGCCTCTCCAAGGCTCTGGATGGCGAGGCCCAGACTCAAGAGGCAAGGGTTGCCCTGTGTTGTGTGGGAAAGCAACAACCCAGCCCTACTTTTGGACTTCCTGGACCCCAACCCTATCCCGGATGAGCCCCCAATGAATGGCAGGGAAGACGTCAGCCCAGCCGCGCGCTCCCGCTGCGTGCCAAGGCGGATGATGGTGACATTCCTCCATCCAGAGCTGCCTCTCTCTCCCCGCCATCGCAACACAGCATCTCTAGCCCACACAACCGGACCCCCGAGGGAGGCAGACATCGCCCGTGGGTGAAGGAAGGCGCGGAGGCGAGGGAAGGCGCGGAGCATCCTCTTTCTGCATCCTCTCTTTTGGAAAGCAGGCACCGGGAGAGAGAAGTCACCCCACAGAGACCCCCAGGCACACGTCAGCATGATCCCCCTCGGCCTGAGCCCCACTTACGCTCTGGTTTTGGGGAAGCCCATGGAGAGGAGGATGTCCAGCGAGGAGCCGTGCTTGATGGTGCCCGGCCGGGGCTGGCGGGTCCTCCGCGGGGTGACTTGGCTGTAGAGGTCCGCTCGGGAGGTGGCAGCCGCTGCAGCAGCCATAGCTGGGGTCAGGGGCCCAGGCGTGGGTCCGGCTCCACAGCCCCACACACGATCATCCAGACAGGGAGCCCATTGCAAGGCTCAGAGCGCCTCCTCCTCCTCTTCCTCTTTCCCTGCTTCTCCAAGGGCGCAATTCCCCTTCTCTCTGTGTGTCTCTCTCTCTCTCTGGAGGCGGGAGGAAAGCAACTGGGAGGCAGCGAGGGCGCACTGATGCAAGAAGCGGCTTCCTGGGGAAGGAGGGGACCAGCTTGCTGCCAAAGGCACTCCTCCTCCTCCTTCTCCTCCTCCTCCTCCTTCTCCTCCTCCTGCTTTCTCCGCCTTCTCCTCTTCTCCCTCCTTTCTCTCCAAGCTTGGCTTTGGCTGAAGGTGTTCCACCTCCCTTCTGGATAATAATAATAGTAATAATAATAATAGTAATAATAATAATAATAATAATAATAATAATAATAATAGTTCATCATCTCTTGCTGAAGGTGTTCCCAGCTGGCAACAAAATGTGCCCCACCTCATCCAGCCCAGGTCAGACATCCGCTGCCCCCCCCCCCCCCCGAATAACAATAATAATAATTCATCTTTGGCTGAAGGTGTTCCCAGCTGGCAGCACAATATGCCCCACCTCATCCAACCCAGGTCAGGCATCTTCCACCTCCCTCCTGAATAACAATATTAACAACAACAACAACGACAACAACAATTAATCTTTGGCTGAAGGTGTTCCCAGCTGGCAGCACAATATGCCCCACCTCATCCAACCCAGGTCAGGCATCTTCCACCTCCCTCCTGAATAACAATATTAACAACAACAACAACGACAACAACAATTAATCTTTGGCTGAAGGTGTTCCCAGCTGGCAGCACAATATGCCCCACCTCATCCAACCCAGGTCAGGCATCTTCCACCTCCCTCCTGGATAATAATAATAATAATAATAATAATAGTTCATCATCTTTGGCTGAAGGTGTTCCCAGGTGGCAGAAAAACACATCCCACCTCATCCAACCCAGGTCAGGCATCTTCCACCTCCACCCTGGATAATAATAATAATTCATCATCTTTGGCTGAAGGTGTTCCCAGCTGGCAGCGTAATGTGCCCACCTTATCCAACTCAGGTCAGGCACCTTCCACTCCCTCCTGAATAACAATACTAACAACAACAACAATAATAGATAATAATTCATTTTTGGCTGAAGGTGTTCCCATCTGGCAGCAAAAAGTGCCCCACCTCATCCAGCCCAGGTCAGGCATCTGCTTCTCCCTCTTGAATAATAATAATAATAATAATAATAATAATAATAATAATAATAATAATAATAATAATAGCAATAGTAATAATAATAATTCATCATTAGCTGAAGATGTTCCCAGCTGGCAGCAAAACACACCCCATCTCATCCAACCCATCTCATCCAACCCAGGGGGGGATCTTCCACCTCCCTCCTGGATATAATAATAATAATAATAATAATAATAATAATAATTTATCATATTTGGTTGAAGGTGTTCCCAGCTGACAGCAAAATGTGCTCCACCTCATCCAACCCAAGTCAGGCATCCTCTGCCCTCCTCTTGAATAACAGTGACAACAACAACAACAACAACAACAACAACAACTCATCTTTGGCTGAAGGTTTTCCCAGCTGGCAGCAAAAGGTGCCCCATCCCATCCAACCCAGGTCAGGCATCCACTGCCCCCTCTTGAATAATAATAATAATAATAATAATAATAATAATAATAATATCATCTTTGGCTGAAGGTGTTTCCAGCTGGAAGCAAAATCCAACCCAGGTCAGGCATCTGCTGCCCCCCCCCTTGAATAATAATAATAATAATAATAATAATAATAATAATAATAATAATTATTATTATTATTATTCATCTTTGGCTGAAGGTGTTCCCAACTGGCAACAAAACACATCCCTCCTCATCCAACCCAAGTCAGGCACCTCTCACTCCCCCCTGAATAACAATACTAACAACAACAACAACAACAATAATAATAATGATAATAATTCATCTTTGGCTGAAGGTGTTCTCAGCTGGCAGCAAAATACGCCCCACCTCATCCAGCCCAGGTCAGGCATCTGCTGTCCCCCTCTTGAATAACAATAACAACAATAATAATTCATCTTTGGCTGAAGATGTTCCCAGCTGGCAACAAACACATCCCATCTCATCCAACCCAGGTCAGGCACCCTCTACCTCCTCCTGAATAACAATAGTAAAAACAACAACAATAATAATTCATCTTTGACTGAAGGTGTTCCCAGTTGGCAGCAAAATACATCCCTCCTCATCCAATCCACTCATTGATGGAGTTCAGAATGCTCTTTGATTCTAGGTGAACTATAAATCCCAGCAACTACAACTCCCAAATGACAAAATCAATTTTTTGAGTGATGATCACTCCTAGGGTTAGTAGGTGTCTTGTGGTCAAATTTGGCAGCAATTCGTCCAGTGGTTTTTGAGTTATGTTAATCCCACAAACAAACATTACATTTTTATTTATATAGATATACATGATGTCCCTCGCTCTAGTTATCCGTTGAATGAAGCCAGTGCAATGCAGTTAAAGCAGTATCAAAATGCCATAATTGTGTAGTATGAAAAAAGCCAGTTATTTAAAGTCTAGCAGATTTGATCCATTCAACTGATATAATTCTTGTTCCAGTGTCTCCATCTGCTGCCATTGGATAGTTGTACTCCTTTACGCTGTTGACATCTCTAAGGTGAACCTACAATGGAGTTTTATTGGTAAGATTTGTTTGGAAGTGGGTTGACTTTGCCTTTTGTGGAGGCTTGCCGAAGATCCATGGAATTTGAACTCTGGTCTCCAGAGTCATAGTCTTCTGCGTTCATGTATGTATATAGACCTCACTCCATTCATCACAAATGCAGAGATGCAGAGCTGAAATTATTACATTCACTGGTTGCAACTCCATGCCTTCAAGGCTGCTGTTAGCAAAGGACTCATGTATGTTTACTAAAAGGTCCTACAGCATGGACTTCGGGATTGAGAGGACTGCAATCTAGTCCAACCAGTAGTGCAAGAATCCATTGCTAAAGCAGCCCCAAGCTGTGGCCACCTAACCTCTCTTTTAAAAAACCCCAAAGAACAAGAGCCCACTGTTTTCTCAACTAGCCTATTATACTCTGGATCATTGAAAGGGTTTCTCTTTTGAGGGAACCTGGATCCAGTCTGTGGCCATTCCACACTGCACAGTTACAGCATTATGATTCCTCTTTAACTAAGGAATCTCTTCCAGTTCAACTCTATGGCCAACTTTTAGTTTCACTGGAGAACTTTGAGATTCCTACAGAGGTATTCCCTCCAATAAAAAATAGTGGTACATTTTAAAAGTAGGTGAAAGTGTGGGAGGACAGAGGATTAACTGGGACAAACTGGGAGAGCTGGAGGCATCCATTAAAGATTTGCCCTGACCCATTTCTATTTATTACAGCAGCAACTACAACTCCCAAATTTCAAGGTCTATTTCCCCAAACTCCACCAGTGTTCACATTTGGGCATATTGAGTATTCATGCCAAGTTTGGTCCAGATCAATCATTGTTTGAGTCCACAGTGCTCTATGGATGTAGGTAAACTATAACTCCAAAACTCAAGGTCAGTGCCTACCAAACCCAATATTTTCTGTTGGTCATGGGAGTTCTGTGTGCTAAGTTTGGTTCAATTCCATCATTGATGGATTTCAAAATGCTCTTTGATTGTAGGTGAACTATAAGTCCCAGCAACTACAACTCCCAAATTTCAAGGTCTATTTCCCCAAACTCTACCAGTGTTCATATTTGGGCATATTTAGTATTTGTGCCAAGTTTGGTCCAGATCCACCATTGTTTGAGTCCACAGTGCTCTCTGGATGTAGGTGAACTATAACTCCAAAACTCAAAGTCAGTGCCCACTAAACCCAGCATTTTCTGATGGTCATGGGAGTTCTGTGTGCCAAGTTTGGTTCAATTCCATCATTGATGGATTTCAAAATGCTCTTTGATTTTAGGTGAACTATAAATCCCAACAACTAAAGGTCCCAAATAACTAAATCAACCTCCCCAACCCTACCAATATTCAAATTTGGGCATCTTGGGGGATATTTGTGCAAAATTTGATCCAGTGAATGAAAATACTTCCTGAATATCAGATATTTACATGACGCTTCATAACAGTAGCAAAATAACAGTAATGAAGCAGTAATAAAAATAATGTTATGGTTGAGGGTCACCACAACATGAAGAACTCTATTGAGGGGTCGCGGCAGTAGGAAGGTTGACAACCACTGCATTACAGGATGCTGAAAGGGCACATGTGTAATGATATAAGTCTCTATAGGTTACGTGCCAATTTACAACTCAGAACTGATAACGGTCTTGATTTTACAGGTGCTGAAGTGAGGTGAGGTTTGAGAATGGACCCAGTGGAATAAAGAGCAGTCCTCAAGTTCCTTGACTTTAAAGGCTGCACACCAAAGGGGACGTTCGATGAGATGAACGAGTTTTATGGTGATGATTCCCCATCATAAGAAGTAGTCAAGAACTGGCATCATCAATTCAAATGTGGTTGGACTTCAGTGGAAACAGCTCCAATTCCAGGTGACCCCATTCTGCTACTGATGAACATGCCATCCAGCAAGCGGAGGTTGCCATTTTGGAAAATCGCCATGTAACCATTTGCCACTTAAACCAAAATGTCAGGATTAGTGTGGAGTCCATGGAAAATCCAAGACCATCTTCACATGTATAAGGTATCCGCTCGCTGGGTCCCTCAGCTGCTCACACCTTTCCAGAAGTAGGAATGAGTCGAATGCCCTCAGGCTCTATTGACAATGATGTGCCATGGAAACCCAGGAGGACATTTTCAACAAACTGCTCACACAGGATGAAAGCTGGGTCCAATACTATGATCCTGAGACTAAAGTCCAGTTGATGCAATGGAAGCATCATGTCTCACTGCCTCCAAAGAAAGCACGTGCCCAACTCTCAGCAGGCAAGGTCATGCTCAAAGTATTGTGGAACCAGAACGGAGCACTATTGATGGATTTCTTAGCAAAGGGTGTCATGATCACTGGGGCAGACTAGGCTTCACTGCTGTGGTAATTACGGGAGGCCATCAAACCAAGAGACAGTGTGGCATGCTCACCAATGGTGTCCACTTCTGCAAGACAATGCAACGGTTCACAACTCACCTGTTGCTCTAATGGAAGCATGTGCCTGTGGCTTTGAAATTCTACTGTATCCCCCTTATTCACCCAACCTCGCATC